CACAAAGTTGCACGAATCGCGACGTGAATTTACGATTTTCAGATTGTTGACGCGCATTCCATCTTACGCACTCTGCATGTAGCTATATATTGCACTAAACCCTCATGATCTTTCATCAACATGTTAGGTGTTCACGAATTGTAAATGGTTAAAAATAAATACTTGACTAAACTTAGGCTTATAGTAGCTCGAAATATATTACATTGACATTAGTAATTACTATAATCTAATTTGTCGAATGCTTTACATAATTATATTTGATGAGATTAATTGAACCCTAATCATCCGTCAAAAACTCAGAAGTTGTGACAATCACACTATTTTGCGTATAATTATGAAACAGAGCAGAAACTACTGTACATTTTTCAAACCATGCTGTGGTGCACAGTTTCGAAACAAGGCTGATAGGCTAGGGAGGTTCGGGTTGGCCAACTAAAAACCTGCCGCGATGTTACTTCGAACTCATCCCACCCTAGTTCCGAAAGTTGGCAGAATCTACGTGAGAGTTACTAGTCTAACTACTGAACCTACTAGAAACATACTCCCATCCACCCGCACAGAAAGTTAACTTTCACAAACCTACTGCACACCCCAACCCATTTTTGGGATGATGGCATGCGGGTGGCGGATCCTTGTGAATCTGTCCATCTTCGGTAGCCTTCAACGGGCCGTTCTCGTAGCCCTCGTCACGAAGGCGAGCTTGATGCAGCCTACACTCTACGTTGTTGGTCTGATGAGACTTCAGAGCACGGTGCGTCTGAAGAGTGCTGCGCACCACGCACACAGAATAAGTGATAACATCACTAAATAACGTGCTCTCGGAGTTGCTGCCATAACAAAGGCAAATCTGAAGCCGTCGACGGCTTCCTATCCCGCAAAATCTGAGAAAGGGACTGCGGAAATGAAGGCGTTGTAAGCCTACGCGGCTTTTATGAGGATCGATCGGCATGTTGTGCAGTAGAAGCGAATAGAGACTACAGAGCGTCAAATCACTAGCGATCGTTCTTCCAAGTGCACGACCCTTGGCGTCTTGGCGGTCGAAATCCTGCTAGTGCGCTTCGCGGCAAATCGTAGCAGATCGTGCCTCATCGGTCGAAACTTGTACCTGTTGTGTGAGGCACGAACTTCGTGTGTTCAAACCTTTGATCTCGCTCCGTTATAAGTTTTACACTGGTTGTTTCAAAAACTCACTAAATAAAAGAGCCAGGAAATCGATAACTCACATCTTTACATTCCATTCCACAACTATTTGCACGAAACAATTCAACTTATCAGAGGTGTTTCCATGTAGTGTCGCAAACCCCAATACCCTCGAAAAAAAATCACAGGTGTGCTCGCAATACCCAATACCTTGTCGTCGTCGTCGTTGTCGTCGTCGTCGTCGTTGCCGTCGTAGTCGCCCTTGTCGTCCTTGTCGTTCTTGTCGTCGTCGTTGCCGTCAGTGCCGTTGGTGCTCTTGCTGCTGTTGATGTTGCTGCTGCTGCTGTTGCTGCTGTTGTTGTTATTGTTGTCCTTGTCGTCCTTGTCGTCGTTGCCGTCGTTGTTGTCGGTGTTGTCGTTGGCACAGTTGTTGTTGCTGCTGCTGCTGCTGCTGCTGCTGCTGCTGCTGTTGTTGATGTTGTTGCTGTAGTTGTGGTTGTTGTGGCCGTTGTTGATGTTGTTGTGGATGTTGTTGGTGTTGTTGTGGATGTTATTGTTGTTCTTGCTGTTGCTATTGTTGTCGTTGTCGTCGTCGTCGTCGTTTCCGTCGTAGTTGCCCTTGTCGTCCTTGTCGTTCTTGTCGTCGTCGTTGCCATTCGTGTCGTTGTTGTCGGTGTTGTCGTTGGCACAGTTGTTGTTGCTGCTGCTGCTGCTGCTGTTGTTGATGTTGTTGCTGTAGTTGTGGTTGTTGTGGCCGTTGTTGATGTTGTTGTGGATGTTGTTGGTGTTGTTGTGGATGTTATTGTTGTTCTTGCTGTTGCTATTGTTGTCGTTGTCGTCGTCGTCGTCGTTGCCGTCGTAGTTGCCCTTGTCGTCCTTGTCGTTCTTGTCGTCGTCGTTGCCATTCGTGCCGTTGGTGCTCTTGCTGCTGTTGATGTTGCTGCTGCTGCTGCTGCTGCTGCTGTTGCTGCTGTTGTTGTTATTGTTGTCCTTGTCGTCCTTGTCGTCGTTGCCGTCGTTGTTGTCGGTGTTGTCGTTGGCACAGTTGTTGTTGCTGCTGCTGCTGCTGCTGCTGCTGCTGTTGTTGATGTTGTTGCTGTAGTTGTCCTTGTTGTGGCCGTTGTTGATGTTGTTGTGGATGTTGTTGCTGTTGTTGTGGATGTTATTGTTGTTCTTGCTGTTGCTATTGTTGTCGTTGTCGTCGTCGTCGTCGCCCTTGTCGTCCTTGTCGTCGTCGTTGTCGGTGTTGTCGTTGGTGCAGCTGTTGTTGTTGCTGCTACTGCTGATGCTGTTGCTGGTGGTGCTGCTGCTGGTGCTGCTGCTGTTGTTGATGATGTTGTTGCTGTAGTTATGGTTGTGTGGTTGTTGTTGATGTTGTTGTAGATGTTGTTGCTGTTGTTGTTGTTGCTGTTGTTGTGGCTGCTATTGTTGTTCTTGCTGTTGCTATTGTTGTCGTTGTCGTCGTCGTCGTCGTCTTCGCCCTTGTCGTCCTTGTCGTCGTCGTTGTCGGTGTTGTCGTTGTTGCAGTTGCTGCTGTTGCTGGTGCTGCTGATGCTGTTGCTGGTGTCAGAACATCATAGCTTACTCATTTCTGTAGGCTATAGTGGGGTCCCATAGGGGGTACAACCCAATTAGGGTTTCATATTTGTACTCACTTCATTTCATAGTCATTCATTCACGTTCCTTTCTTCACAGCTGGTGCTGCTGCTGCTGGTGCTGCTGTTGGTGCTGCTCCTGTTGTTGCTGATGTTGTTGCTGTAGTTTTGGTTGTTGTGGCTGTTGTTGATGTTGTTGTAGATGTTGTTGCTGTTGTTGTTGCTGTTGTTGTGGCTGTTATTGTTGTTCTTGCTGTTGCTATTGTTGTCGTTGTCGTCGTCGTCGTCGTCGCCCGTGTCGTCCTTGTCGTCGTTGTCGTCATTCTTAAAACGGCTCACAAAAAATATTTTGCATCATTTTTAGCACATATTTTTCGAACATGTACACCATGAAGGAAGCTTACCAACTCTTAGCACCAACTGTGGCTTGTGCAGCTGTGTGACATAGTTGATAATTGTGGTTTTCCAAATAAATGCAACAAATGTGAATTCATATCCAGTTGCTGTGTACTAGATCAGTTGCTAATTTGTCATTGAATTATCACCATAAAGCGAGGGTCAGACGTTGATTCCGTAAGTACACCCCACATGACGGTGGAGGTAGTGAGCGACTCCTGCCGTGCACAGCTGGAACATTTGTCGTTATTCATGTTGCGACAAAGTTCGAAAGTGGCGGAATTGAACAGCACATGGCCTGGTTGGGCATGTTGCCATTTCTTCCTCACTGTACACCTGGTCCAATTTTGCCGAAGACAGCAACATCCACGTCGACCCTCACCTCCTATTCGCGGAATCACAAGTTTCCTGGCAACACAACGAATGAGTGACCATCTGGACGCGAACGAACTAGGCACAGTAACCACTTCTTGAGATGTGTGGTTGCGATTAGGGCGGAGTGCATCAAGCGATCCTTGCTATAAGTTTTGTCCGATGTGTAAGGGTATTACTGTACACCTGCTGCACCACAGCCACTTGGTCATGCCGACCAAACAACCCTATACCAGACTGATCCCACAGCTTGCGATCCACTTCAATCAGGCGTTGATGGTGCACACGGGTGCACGTCGATCCTTCTCGCAATTTTTTTTCTGTCGTCCAGCGACGCAGCGAAATGACAACGAGAATAAAACGAACGAATTACAAAGTCAGCCGCGAAAAAACACTGCAGTGGCGACCCCCGACCGCATCCATTGGTGCTTGGGGATCGCGACTGCAAAATTGCACATCCCTTGATACACCCCGCCCTTACACTTCCCCACAGATCATCCTCGTAGCCTCGTAACTGCTCCTTTCCCACCTTGACTAGCTTAGACGGTTACGATTTGTTGTTGCCAACTGATCGTGCGGACCATACATCGTCTTCTTCATTCGAATGTTCAAACTATGGCAATTCAAACACTCAAACAATCGCCTCTTCTGATAGTTAGAGCACGGAGGAGGACTTGGCTTTGTTTCCTCACTTCCCAGCTCCTCCTGAAGCTCTCGCGCCAAACTGTAGTTTACATTTGGCGCCAACACTGGAGGCTTACAACCAGACGTTTCTCTGAATTGTGATTAGCTCGTATATTGACAAGATGTCGAACCTATTCCATGCCCAGACTTTCTCAACAGATAGCAGTGCTCGTAGCAGGTGGCGTTTTCAGCTGCCTAGGCTCTCAATCACCTGCCAGCAGAACATCAATACACCTGCCAAGCGCCGCCGATCACCTGCCCAACCATGCATTTCACCTGCCCAAATGTAGTGCTCACCTGCCCTTTGGCGCCAATCAACTGCGCTTGTAGGAGCTTCAATCTAATCGCCCAGCTTAACTACTACTTAAGTCACAACTTGCTGGGCATTATTATCATATTCATCCGTCTCCTAGTTCCTATCTTCCTCGGTACGGTCTTCACCACCTCCAGAACTATGGCTACTGTCCTTGCTGTCCGGAGCGAGGTGACAGGCAAGCGCCCCATCAAGCTGACCCCGAAGATGCAGGGAGCTGGGGGTCTTGGTACCCGCTTGAGTGGCGGTGTCAAGAAGCGCAAGGCTGTTGGCGGCCGACTGATCACGAAAGCGCGCAAGGATGGCGCTTCTGAGCACGTCGATGACAACGATGATGTCGACGATGTTGCGGGCAACACCGGCATTGACAACGCCTCTGCTGCCGCAGCTGACCCGTCTAGCGGTGCTGGTGATGCCGCTCCCTTGGGGGTTCAAGTCCATGCTGACGACTTCAGTGATGAGGAGCATGATGAGGAAGAGGAACGCACGAAGCTGCAGACGGAAAAGCAAGGTAAGAGCTCTTGAATTTTTCTTGCCCTGTTCTTTGGAACTTGTGTTGTGCTTGTATTCCAGATCTTCTCTTGTGCTTGTATCCCAGTTTTAACCGTAACGCTCATTTCCTGTGCCGCAGGGGACGGGCGACAGGACACGCTGAACAACATCACCGAGCGTGATGGGGCGTCGCTTCCCTCTCAAAGTCCTGCTGGGAGCCCCCTGGAGGGTGTTGCCGCGGCATCTGACCAGGCTGCTAACGGGCGGCTTGCTGAGTTGGAGCGAACCACGCAGCAGCAGTCACAGCTGATTTCGTCGCTTTTGTTGCAACTTAACAACGGGTCCTGCTCCCTGGAGAGGGGTGCGGTGGGTCATGCCTCGGGGTCTCCAAGCACCAATGGAACGCCGCGATCAGCACCAACGTCGCAGCAAGCTCATGTCGCCACACCCGAACGCGAAATGCTGCAGCGCCCGACATCCAACCGTGCTTCCCCTGCTGTGCCGCGGAAGCGGAAGTATCCAACGATGAAGACAACGGTAACGTGTGCGACGTAGTCCTGCACACGTCACTCAGCGGTATCCCGTTGAGGGACCAGATCCTCATGCGCCAGTTGCCTTCCTATGGCAAGGCATGGAACGTAAGTGCCATATCGAAAGTGTGGAATGGGGGTTGGTGGGTTATGTTTGTGTGGGTTATGGCTAAGGGGCATTGCTGTTTTGCTCATCCCCTCTTCACCCTTTCCTCACGCCACTCCTTTTCTGGCCCTTGTTCTGTTTTGAGTCGACTTGTTCTTCTCGCATGCTGATTTGCCACGTTTCCAAGTTTCACAAATCTCCCCTATTCTTTTCCGCATTCCCATGTACCAGAAAAAAATGGAGCTTGCTGTGGTTGTGGCGTTTCTTTCGCCAACCGGACGACGTTACGAGCGTGTACCCGTCAGAAAGCGTGGTGATGCGGTGCCTCATCGGTGTTTGGGGGCGAGAGCAAGGCTGCCGCGCTAGTAGCAGTCATGACGTACTGCGTGGCGCGGGCAGGCGCTTCAACGCGCAAGCAGAGTGATTGGCGTGCGCGGATCTCGATGAATGGGCGCCGGAATTTTTGCTGACGCCTATGGGCTAGTTTGCGAAGCGAATCCCCGCCTGAAGTTCGATTACAGCGAGCTGATTTGTGATGAGGAGCGCACACCGACCCAAGTATACAACTTGGAGAGCAAGGTTGGGATACCACTGGTCAAGCCTCTTGGTAAGTGCAGTACGTGAGCATTGGTAACCACAGTTGTTACGCATGGTGCTGTATACGTCTTATGTTCTTGGCATACCCTTGGTTATGCAAGTACCCACCTTTCCATATAACGTATGACTGCAATGTCTGTTTCCATTGTTTATATATCTATGTGCTGAGCAGAAAAGGGAGGGCTTCTTATCTGGCACTTTGCTGAAGGCACGATGCGCCCGTTTGGCACTGCGCTCTTCGACATCATCGTCCGCAACGCATTTCAGAAGGGTGCTGGCGGGTCGGCTACGGTGGTGAAGGCGTACCACATCGCCTATCTGCTGTATCTGGTACGTATGAGTGTGATTTTTTACGTTTGCACATGTGCGAGCACTTTGTTTCTTGTGTTGAATTGTAGCTGTAAGATTGGTTGCTTGAAGATTGCCTTGCATAGCCAGTTGGTCGCCCCATCTTCCCTCCAACCATCTTCCCTCCGACCCTCCCGCCAACCAATCGCACATCAAATGGCCCCACCCGCCCCTCCCTGCCGCTTCTTGTCCCTTACCTCTCCCCCTCCCCTCCCCTTTTTCCCATTTCATTTTTTCCTCATCTTTACTGAACCCCAGGTACGGGCAGTCCCCCTTTGAGTTCTCACTGGGCGAGTCAGGAGGGAGCCTGCAGCTCGCAGTGATGAGCGGCACCATCAAATGGCCGCACCCGCCGCTCTCCGCCTCCTCCTTTCCATCCCCTAATCTCCCCTCTTTTCTCCTTCTCCCCATTTTCCCCCCTCCCCCACCCCTACCCTTGCTTCCTGCACTCTTTCCCCGGCCCTTTCTCCCCATTCCCTCCCGCCTTTTTTCTTCTCCTTTCCCGAACCCCAGGTACGGGCAGTCCCGTTTCGAGTTCTCCCTAGGCGAGTCAGGAGGCATGGTGCAGCTCGCAGTGATGGGCGGCACCATTAAATGGCCCCACCCGCCGCTCCCTGCCTCCTCCGCCATCCCTTAATCTCCCCTTTTTCTCCTTCTCCCCTTTTTTTCCCCCTCCCCCACCCCAACCCTTGCTTCCTGCACTCTTTCCCCGGCCCTTTCTCCCCATTCCCTCCCGCCTTTTTTCTCCTTTCCCGAACCCCAGGTACGGGCAGTCCCCCTTTGAGTTCTCACTGGGCGAGTCAGGAGGCAGCCTGCAGCTCGCAGTGATGAGCGGCACCATTAAATAACCCCACCCGCCCCTCCCTGCCTCCTCCGCCATCCCCTAATCTCCCCTCTTTCTCCTTCTCCCCATTTTTCCCCCTTCCCTGTTTCCCATGCCACCCTGCCCATTTCCTGCCACACTGCAGAAGCTTGTAGGGCGTTGATTCCATGCCCAGCGTGTTGCACTCCATACTTCATGCATCAACCGTTCTCCCATGTTGCCCCTCTCCACTCCAACCACCCCTTATGCTGGCAAGAGCATAGAGGGGCTCAGTTTTGTGCCTGTCTTGTTGCTCGGTGCACTTGCACTCTGCCTAATGCTGCCCATCCCTTTCCCTGCTCACCACCCCTCAGGAACGTGGAGTGGAGGTGTCATCGCATGCCTTTTGTGCTCTATCACCTCCCACCTGCCTGCCATGTCCAGTTTGCCTAACCAACACTACCTTTCCCCTTTAATCTGCACTCCCCCGTTGTAACAGGTTGAATATTCCGTGGTGCACCACAAGGCTCGTGGCAAACGCATTCCTACGGATGCGGATGTGAATGCAGCTGACATTGCCTGCTACCACCGCAAGGTGAAGGCGGCCATTCGCAAGACCCTCGAGGAGTCCCCGGATGACCAGCTTCCTGCATGGTCGGAAGCAGTATCAGGGGTGGGTGTTTGGACCCACCGAGACTGTGGTGATCTCGGGCAGCGGCTTCCCCGACCTCGTTCCCGATGGGGCTGACCCCGATGCCGCCGAGAAGAAGGCGGTTGCTCTCCTGTTCGAGTATGCCCAGGTGGAGCCCGAGAAAGGCAAGAAGAAGAAGACGGGTTCCAACAACAGTGATGCCACCATGGAGCGTGATCTCCTGGATGATGTGGGTGAGTGGGAGGATGCGGAGGATAGTGTGTAGACGTGGATGATGTGGGCGGCCGAGTTGGTGCCATGCTGGGATCTGTTGTATTATATAGCTTATGTATTATATATAATTGGGAAATGGACAGATGGTTACATTCGGGATACAAACATCTGGGTCACTTTCAGCAAGAAATTGGGAGCCCCAAATTTGCACAGATTCCATACAATTGGTCAGGCAAATGTATGTTTTTTTAACAGAAAATGCATGACTACCGGGAGGCAGTTTCATGATGTTGGGACAGCAAATGTAATATAAGTGACATGTAAATGAGGAACATTTACTAACTAAATAGCTAGTCCTTTTCGTATGGAAATGGACCCTACTAAAAAGGTACGACAACTTCTACTTTATAGTAGGCCTAATCACCCCTACTAAATACATACCAAGGAGTATAGAAAAGGTATGTAAAAGGTATGTATAATCAATAGGGATTTTTGAGATGGTAAGCCCTCCCCACCCTGCTGTGTCACCGGTGCATGTTGGTGGTAACTGCACTGGTGCATGTTGGTGGTAACTGCACCGGTGCATGTTGGTGGTAACTGCACCGGTGCGTGTTGGTGGTAACTGCACTGGTGCATGTTGGTGGTAACTGCACCGGTGCATGTTGGTGGTAACTGCACTGGTGCATGTTGGTAACTGCACTGGTGCATATAGTGGTCACCACACCGGTGGTGGTAACCAAACTGGTGTGACTGTTGGTAACCACACTGGTGCGAATGTTGGCAACTGCACTGGTGTGAATGTTGGTAACCGCACTGGCGCATATAGTGGTAAGAGGGGCCCTTGTCTCTACTCTGTGACACGAGTGCCTTGAGGTTCATGCATCCCGTGTGTGCAGGGTAACCCATGTCTGTCATCCCTCTGTTCCCTGCTTGCCTGCCCGCTCCATGCCCCATCAATCCCATGCAGGGTACCCCACGTGGAAGGGGCAGATTCTGGATGGAGAGCAGCTGTGGGCGCTAATAGAGGGCTTGGAGGCCAATGGGCTGCTCTTCTACACGCACCTGCTCACCGGTGGGTTCCAGGTGCATGATCACCTGTAGCTTCGAAACAGCACATCGCACATGGCTATGCAATTTCTCTTACACTTACCATGCCTCTTGTCATGCCATTTCACATGCCCCCTCACATGCCATTCCACATCAGACATGGGCATTTTGACCTGACAGGTTGGGTCGTCGGGTCGGGTCCAGGACAGGCCGACCGGACCCGGTCAAGTCGACTTGCGACCCGTAGATTCATATGTCAACCGGGTCGGGTCAAACCGACCCGTTGACGGGTCGCACTGGACCCGCCTATGATCACCCAATCTTCTACGCACCATCAGATCTGTTTGAGTCCTTGCGCGCACATCAGCAGCCGCGCTTCCCACTACCAGAGAGTAGTGCGCGCCACCCCACAGAGCAGCGCGCGTTACTCCCACCTGCATACAGCGCTCGCTCCCATTATTGAAAATACTAAGCTGAGTGCGCCACGTCAGGCAGCAAAGTGCGCGCCACTCCCAACTGCCAACTCACATGCCCTTTCAAATGCCATACCTCATGCCGTTTTACATACCATGTGACACGCCTTACATATCCCATCCCCCATACCATCCCCCATGCCTTCCCCCATACCATCCCCCATGCCATCCCACTTCAACGCCACACATGCAGGGAAAAGGGGATTTCGTGGCAGCATTGCTGCTTGGATGGTCTCATGTAATCCGTTGCCGCATGGCAAGCATCTCATTGCGTCTCAGTCCTACATTCGAATTCACATGCCATCCCCCATGCCATCCCACATACAGGGAACAGGAGATTTGATGACAGCATTGCTGCTTGGATGGTCACATGTGAGTGGGGCAGTTGCAGCACGGTGCTGCATCTCACAGTGCTGGTTACATTTCACAGTGCTGGTTACATTTCACAGTGCTGGTTACATCTCACAGTGCTGGTTACATCTCACAGTGCTGGTTACATTTCACAGTGCTGGTTACATCTCACAGTGCTGGTTACATCTCACAGTGCTGGTTACATCTCACAGTGCTGGTTACATCTCACAGTGCTGTTTACATCTGACAGTGCTGGTTACATCTCACAGTGCAGTGATGGTTACATCTGACAGTGCTGGTTACATCTCACAGTGCTGGTTACATCTCACAGTGTTACATCTCACGTGCTGGTTACATCTCACAGTGCTGGTTACATCTCACTCTTCTGGTTACATTGACTCAATCTGCTCCTCATTCTCTCAGCTCCTCTCCTTCCATTCTCTCCCTCACACACTTTCCTTTCCCCCCTCTCTCCCTCTTTCCCTCCCTCCTTCCCTCCCTCTCTCCCTCTTTCCCTCCCTACTTCCCTCCCTCTCTCCCTCCTTTCATCAGAAGTATCCTCAAGACTTGGCTAGAGCAGCGGAGCTAGCAGTGGCATCCCTACAGGTGAGCAGCTGCTGTTGCGCCTCGTGCTTGTGTTTGTTGATGCTCTGCTGTGTTTTCAATGTTCGTCTAGCTTTTCTGTTTCAACAGCAGAGCTGGCAGTGGCACTGGGCTGTCCATGGCTTTGAGGCAAGCTATATGAGCAGAGTTGGCATTGGCAACCCGTGGCATTGCAACCTTCCTGACCTGATTGCTGCTCTCCTCCCATTCTTTCTCCCTACAGGCTGTGCTCGCACGAACCTTGCAGCACCGCTCTCCACCTCTGGACGGCACCGAGTCCTCTCCCACTCCCCCACTCCCAAGCGCCTGGAGCTCTGCCTCGTTCAGAGCCGCGATGACATTATAAGCCCGCCTGTTGTGTTACGTGCACAAGCGGTTGAAAGCGGTGTAGATGGTTTAGATGGATTGCAAGATGGTGAAAGTGCCTTGGTGAGTGGTGACAGTGTAGGGGTGCTGCAGGATAAGGGAGTTGATGCTCAGCTGACAACTGAGAGCTGAGTTGAATGTACTGTAAAAAGAAAACACTCAACTGTTTTTGGCCAGGTGAGGCACTTCCCTGAGCACAATTAACACTAAGAAAAGGACCAGGCGAATTCGAACTCACAAGCTGTTACGCTTCAATATTTCGGAGAGAGGGTTATGCTAGTGGTCCTGTGTTGAATTAACTTGGTAGGTATCATGTTATACTACAAGCAAGTGATTTCCGTACTGAGCTCTCTTGTCAAGCATCATGGAGGACGCAGAGCCGCTGCGCGCGCTCTCCGCCCACATCGCGTAAAAACGGACGCGGGTATCGCCCTTACTTAGATAGTCTCCCTCAGCTTTCCGCTCTATCGCCGCGTTCCTTCCGTCCCTGGTCCCTCCCCGCGCTGCGCGCGCTCTCCGTCCACAGCGCGTGACGCGGACCGTACTTGTCTCCCGCCGAGTAGCCATGGAGGACGCAGAGGCGCGCCGCTCTCGCCTGCGCAGCATGCGCGAGTCCGCGGCGAAGCAGCAGGCGGCGTCCCCCGGCGCGCCCACGCCTTCCGCCGCCCTCTCCGCACTCCCCTCCCCTGACTTCTCTCCGCCGCTTATCCGCACGCATCTGCGTGTGCGCCATCCGGGGAAGGCGGACCTGGGGGAGGTAGATCTGCTAGACGGCCAGCAGGAGCAGCCACCACAGGCTCGGGGAATTTCTCACAGGCCTCATGTAAATATCTTCAAAGCTCTAGCGTGTTTGTCTTAAAGCCCTATCATTCTCAGCTTCCGAGGTACCTGATCTACCCTACTCCCCAGCACCACGAGTGTCAAGTGCTGCCGTTTATGACTCCCAAGTCATCTCTCAAGCATTTCTCGTGTCATGTCGTGCTGGTGCCGCGCCGTGCCGGGTCGCGCCGTGCCGTGCCGGGTCGCGCCGTGCCGTGCCGTGTCGTATCCTGTATGCCGACCGTATGTCGAAAATGTCCATCGGGGAACTACCTTGAGGCAGAAGCAACTCAACGTCTCTCCCTCCCCATGTGTGATGCACCCTCCAACTGCCTGTCTAACTAATATGGGCCCTTCTCCCAGGTTGAATAGAAAAAACCCCTGTTTCTGGCCTCTGTTTCCCTCCCTTGCAACATCCAGACTCAAGCAGACGCCATCACTGCATGTGACATGCTGCGCGCTGCAGGGCCCAGGAAGGTATGCGAGGCTACAGGGGAGGAAGAAGAGTGGGCAGGTAGGTGAGGGGGACTTTCTGGAATCTCAATACTGTTTCGAACAAACGTGTGGCGGTGGATTAGCCTGCTGCTTGATGCTGCGGGTCCCAGAAACGTATTCTGCACGGCTAGGGCCTAGAGGGGACGAAGAACTGTGGGGCAGGAACTTTCGGGAAACTCAAATTTCCTCAAGTGTTTTGAATGTAAGTATGATGGTGAATTGGGATGGTTTTGCATGCTCTAGGGCCCAGAAAGGTATCACATTGAGTGGGGTTCAGGTCATCTAAACCTCATGGGGGTTGGGGGTGGGATGGGGGGGGGGGAGGAGGTGGGGGAGTGGGGGACGAGAGGGGGAGAGAGAAGGGCACCCTGCTGAGGACGGCATGGTGGGCGTGCTGACGTCATGGTTTGCTTGCTTGCTGGCGCTCTGGCACCGCTGCGAGAGGGGAAGGACAATCCTCGAGTTTCCGTGCTGAATTGATTTACCAGCAAGCAACAGCTCCTCGTAATTCATCAGGTGAGGCACGAGGAGTGGAGGGAGTGTACTTGCTTTGCTTCGAGGAGAGAGGGAGGGTGAAGAAACACCTCTTTCAACTCCACTCAACCGCTGTCACGTACCCCACGACACTCCCATCAGGTGGAGATCGCGAGCATGGAGGTGAAAGCCCAGCTGCTGGTGGTGGAGGGGAGATGTCCCATGAAGCATCGCCACATCTCTTAAGCCCGCTCAACCCCTGTCAACTGCTTTCAACCCCCCAAAATATTGTAAACACCCCAAAACACTCCCGTAATGTGGTGATCACGAGCATGGAGGTGGATGGATGGCCGGTTGCTGGGGTGGAGTGGTCCTTGCGGCAACACCCCTCTTAAACCTGCTCAAACCCCTTCAACCACTTTCAAACCGCTATCAACCCCTTTCAACTGTTTTCAACCACTCCCATCAGGTGGTGATAACGAGCATGGAGGTGGATGGCCAGCTGCTGGTGGTGGGTAGCGACGCCAGCAGCCCTGCTGTAGAGCAGGTGGGTGTAGCAGAGAAGGGAGTGTTCAGCAGAGAGGTGAGTGTGCAGCAGCAGAGCAGGTGAGTGGTGCAGCAGAGCAGGTGAGTGGTGCAGCAGAGCAGGTGAGTGGTGCAGCAGAGCAGGTGAGTGGTGCAGCAGAGCAGGTGAGTGGTGCAGCAGAGCAGGTGAGTGGTGCAGCAGAGCAGGTGAGTGGTGCAGCAGAGCAGGTGAGTGGTGCAGCAGAGCAGGTGAGTGGTGCAGCAGAGCAGGTGAGTGGTGCAGCAGAGCAGGTGAGTGGTGCAGCAGAGCAGGTGACTGGTGCAGCAGAGCAGGGCACGGGGTGTGTGGGTGCTGGACTCGCTGCTGATAGCCTGGTGCTGGTGGTGGGGGCGTGACGCCAGTAGCCCTGCTGTAGAGCAGATGGGTGAGGTGACAGGGCATGGGGGCGTGCCAGTGTGGTGGTCGAGGTGTGCTTTGAGTCGAATCACTCGCATGTGGTTTGATATGCTGCTGCTGCTAATGCTGGTGCTGGTGCTGGTGGTGGGGAGTGACGCCAGCAGCCGTGCAGCAGGGGAAGTGAGTGAGGTGACAGGTCATGAGGGTGTTGGTCTGGTGTTGAGGTGTGGTTTGAGATGACTCCTGAACATGCTGCTTGTGCTGCTGGTGGGTAGTGATGCCAGTAGCCCTGCTGCAGAGGAGGTGTGTGAGAGGGCATGGGGGTGTTGGTCTAGTGCTTGATTTGATGTGTGGTGTGAGGATGGGGCAGGTTTCACACAACAGGTCGGTGCATGAGGCATGCCGTGTCGGTGAGTGTTAGTAGGTCAGCAATGGGCCCTTGTTTTGACCTTGGAAAGCAGGTCTCATCACTTCACCCCCCTGCCCTTGTCACTTCACCCGCCTGCCCTTGTCACTTCACCCGCCTGCCCTTGTCACTTCACCCCCCTGTGCTGGTGACTTATCCTGCCTACCTGCAGTGAACTTGTGCCACTTTTCTTCTTTCTCCCCCTCTTTCATTCAATTTCTCCTACGTTTGCACCTGCCCTGCCCACCCCTACATACACCACCCCGTACATACACTGCCCTGGCTCCCACTCTGGTCAACATCTTGACATACGTATTTCAGGAGGAGGGCCCCGGACCACCTGGATCATCTGGATCACATTCCTTGCAACGCTTCTGCTTTGCAGTGCCCAAGATATCCGAGTACTTCACTGTATGGCACTCCTTCTCACACTCTCTCTTCTCACACCCTCCTTCTCTCACTCTCCTCACACTCTCCTTCAGTGTGCAAATCAAAACAAGCAGCGCATATCGTCTCTCTCATCCCCACTTGCTCTCCCTTCTGCCCTCCTCTCCCTTCCCCCCTTACTCCCCTCCACCTCCCTCAGGCGGCAAGGCGACAACATGAGCGTAATCGGAAGGGTGATGGCAGAAAGCTTGTTTGTGATTGATTAATAAGCAGAGATGGGGTACAAGAGAGGGGGAAACCCCCCTAAAATCCTGAAAAAAACCCCCCCACAGCCCCCCCAAGGCCCCCCTAAGGCCCCCCTACCCCCCAATTCTCCTCACAGCCCCTCACAGCCCCCCTCGAACCGCCCTGGAAATCCCTGGGCATGGCCCATGCATATCTGCTCCCTGTCATATCACATTCCTGCTTCTGCTTCTTCTTTGTGCTTCCTATCTATCATATCCCTCCCGGGCATGGCATGGCATGGCATGATATGGCCAACCAGGGAGGGGCGCACAGCACAGAGAGCCAGGAGCTCATCCACCACTCCCTCTTCTGTTCTGCTTCTGCTCCCCACTCCCCTCCCTTTTCCCTCACCCCTCCCCGCTTTCTCTGCCCGCCTGCGTATATAATAACAAGCACATACATTCACATTCGCTAGGTCATCAAATCTATAAGTCATCTATCACTCTACGCGTCGTAGCAAATAGCCTCATGTTGTCGACAGGAGAAAATGGCACATGCGCTCCCTCCTTGTGCATCTGTTTCTCTCTCTTCTTCTCCCTCATGTCCTGCCCTGCGCATGGCTGAACACAAGCAGGTGGCAACACATCTACTCCCTGTTTCCGTTTCTGCCACTCTTTGATATCCCAAACCTGGCCCAAACCAAACCTGCACTTCCCCCCCCCCCCCCCTCCCCCTGCATGTATAACAACAGGCACATACATTTATGTTCTTAACGTGATCAGATTCATCCCTCCTACCACTCTGCACATCGCAAGCCAAGTGTCTTCATCTTGGCGATAGGAGGGAAGCTGGCACCTGCGCAAGGGGAGGGGGGGAGTTGGGGTGGGGGAGAGGGGGAGCGGAGCAAGTAAGCGGGGGGGAGCAGACCAAGTGAGGGGATGGCAGGAGGTGTGAGGGCATGGTGGGATGGCAGGTGTGTGGGATATGGCAAGGTGTGCAGTGCATGCTCTGAGGCGACTCACAACGCACATGCGGCTGAATTGGTGGGGCATGCAGCATGGCATGGCGCTGCGCTCCTCCCTGCTTCTGTTTCTCTCCCTTGTCCTCTCTCATGTCCCGCGCATGGATGATCAGGGACGGGCACACAAGCAGCTGGCAACGCATCTGCTCCCTGTGCAAAGTATCTTCATCTTGGCGACAGGAGAAACTGGCACCTGCGCAAGGGAAGGGGAGGAGTCGGGGTGGGGGAGCAGAGCAAGTGAGCGGGGGGAGCAGGGCAAGTGAGCGGGGGGAGCACCCTAAACCCCCTTACCCCCTTACCTGGCAGGAAATGAAATTCACCATGCAAGGAATGCAAATCCACCTGCCAGGGCATCAACAGGCACCATGCAGGGCATGAGAAGGCACCGTGCAACATGCGAAGGCACCTTGCAGGGCATGAGAAGGCACCTGGCAGAAGGGGGAAAGTGGGGAAAGAGGGGAGGGGGTGGGTGAGACAAGCTCAAATGGGCAGGCGCTGCAGTGGCAGCTGGCAGAAAGGGGAGGGGAGAGGGTGTCTTGGACGTCTCACAGTTCCCCATGCCCCCTTACACCCCCCCCTTGAGAAAGAATGCACACAGGAACAACAAACAAGCAAGCAAAACAAACTGAAACAAACAAACAAACAAACAAACAGGAAATATTGGGATGGAAAGAGGGGACGGGGTGAGTGAGACCTCTTCAATCAACATGCGCTACACTGGCACCTGCTGGAAACGGGAGGACAGAGGGGAGGTGTTGAGTGTGACACCTCAAAACATTATGCCTTGCACTGGCACCTGCTGGAAAGGGGAGGAAAATGGCATCATGCAAGGAATGAGAAGGCATCATGCAGGGAACGGCAAGGCACCTTGAGGGAATGAGAAGGCATATGATTTTTATGTGCCCTAGTACATTGTTTTGCTTTTGTGTTCATACATTCATGCATCGTTCTGGTTCGCTCTTACCACGTGGGCGTGCGCGTCAGCTTGCCCCACCCCGTGCTGCACTGTCACGCCCCGCTGGCAGCTGCTGAAACACGGGGAGGGAGGGAGGGAGGGAGGGAGGGAGGGAGGGAGGGAGGAGAGGGGAGGGGAGGGGAGATGAGGCATTGGTCAAATGACTCGAAACAGAGGGGAGAGAGGAGGGGATTGGTCAAATGACTCAAAACAAAGAGGAGAGAGGAGGGAATTGGTTAAATGACTCAAAACAAATAGGAGAGAGGAGGGGATTGGTCAAATGTCTCAAAACAGAGGAGAGAGGAGAGGATTGGTCAAAGGACTCAAAACAGAGGGGAGAGAGTAGGGGATTGGTCAAATGACTCAAAACAGGGGGAATAGAGGAGGGGATTGGTCAAATGACTCAAAACAAAGAGGAGAGAGGAGGGGATTGGTCAAATGGCTCAAAACCGAGGGGAGAGAAGAGGGGATTGGTCAAATGACTCAAAACAGAGGGGAGAGAGGAGGGGATTAGTTAAATGATTCAAAACAGAGGGGAGAGAGGAGGGGATTGGTCAAATGACTCAAAACAAATATGAGAGAGGAGGGGATTGGTCAAATGACTCAAAACAAAGAGGAGAGAGGAGGGGATTGGTCAAATGACCTCAAACAGAGAGGAGAGAGGAGGGGATTGGTCAAATGACTCAAAACAGGGGGAAGAGAGGAGGGGATTGGTCAAATGACTCAAAACAAAGAGGAGAGAGGAGGGGATTGGTCAAATGACTCAAAACAGAGGGGAGAGAGGAGGGGATTGGTCAAATGACTCAAAACAAAGAGGAGAGAAGAGGGGATTGGTCAAATTACTCAAAACAGAGGGGAAGAGAGGAGGGGATTGGTCAAATGACTCAAAACAAAGAGGAGAGAAGAGGGGATTGTTCAAATTACTCAAAACAGAGGGGAGAGAGTAGGGGATTGGTCAAATGACTCAAAACAGGGGGAAGAGAGGAGGGGATTGGTCAAATGTCTCAAAACAAAGAGGAGAGAGGAGGGGATTGGTCAAATGACTCAAAACAGAGGGGAGAGAGGAGGGGATTGGTCAAATGACACAAAACAAAGAGGAGAGAGGAAGGTATTGGTCAAATTACTCAAAACAAAGGGGAGAGAGGAGGGGATTGGTCAAATGGCTCAAAACAGAGGGGAGAGAAGAGGGGATTGGTCAAATGACTCAGAACAGAGGGGAGATAGGAGGGGATTGGTCAAATGATTCAAAACAGAGGGGAGAGAGGAGGGGATTGGTCAAATGACTCAAAACAAAGAGGAGAGAGGAGGGGATTGGTGAAAAGACTCAAAA